AGTTTTTCCGATTTTTTAAATTAATATTTATTAATTAAAAATTTAGCAGAATACATCTCTCGTTTTTTTTATAGTCGTAGATGATAACAAATATTACCTATGTTTACACACTTTTATAGGTCGCAACCTATATATCTCAAATTTAACTTTTAATTTAGGTTCCTCGGTTGTAAGCAGTCAGCAGATGACCTACCTTCTCTATGATCAGATCTCGTTTTTTTGTGACCGAGACCCGACCTAAAATATAGGTCAGGCCGCGATATAAGTCTCTTTCGGTGTGAACATTAAAAATAGACTGCGCACTTCTGAAGTTGTCGGTCTCGGTTTAGAAACCGTGAGATAGCTTGAAGCTAGCGTATCGCTGTCTTTCTCAAAGAATCAAGTTGAAGAGAGATGCTGATATGCTCAATTATTTCTAATAGAGCACAGATGCTAAAGGTGACTTTACATGGTCAATAATACTGTCAATATTAAGATGCCGACAATATTTACTGATTGTGTGTGATTAATATTGATAGAATACTGATGGTGATCTGGATCTTAATTCTCGAGCAGTACCACTTTATTAAGAGCCATGTCACAGTATGTCATATTACAACAGATAATATATGTAAAAGAGCCCTCAAAAGTGAAATAAATTGAAATATATTGTCTAAATAATACTGATAATAAAGTGAAATATATTATCAATAATACTGATCGTGTAAGATTGTAAAAATACTAAAAATATTGATGCAATACTACTGATTCAATATTACTGATTCAATATTACTGATCAGTATTTTAATGACTGTGTAGAATCATCTTAAGAGCTACGAAGACCGGTCTATTCTTTTACGTATATGTTGATTATCGATGTTTATTATCATACTCTCGTCTGAATCATATAATGCAAATGAATAATTGTCCATTTTACATCAAAGAACGACTTACAATAAAAATAAACAAAATTTTATTACATACTAGAAACAGAATAGAAATGTAGTAAAAGATTCGATTAAATCTTGCATGATCGTCGTATTCGATAATTAGCTCATGTAATTGGTTGCCTATCGAATTTCGTTTTCGTGATTTATTAAAATCATATAATTTTTTCTTCTCGCGATGCAAAATAAAAATCAATTGCGCTCCTTAATTAATATATTACCAGATTGTAAAAATTCAATAAAGCATTTAATAAGGCATTTTTATATTTAATACGCAAAAACATTTTAGAGCTGGATATTTTTCTAAATTACTATTTTATATATCGGTCCCTTAGCGCAAGACATGCTCGCGCGGAAACAGGATGCACCTGTCGCGATACATTACTGTCGCTTATCTGCGACAAAACGCGTCACACGCAATCTTCCTCGACCCATTCTCCATATTCCATATATACGCGAGAGAATAAGGCTGCTCGGTTACCAGGGGAATGTGTCAGGGCTTCGTGAGAAAATCTGTTCTCATCGTTAATCGCAACGCCGGATCTAGCGAAACGGGCCGCGCATCTTTCCGCCGATTATCCGATTAGAAGGGACAATCATACGTTCTCTTTCGTTTTTTCTTCCGTTCTTCATTTAGTCATCGTTTGCTTTCTCGCGGCTACGATCGTTTTGTAATTTCCTGCCGTGGTTATCGGATTGTAGAACTGATTGACAAAAATTTCCGATTGTTACCCTGTGTGGCAATCACGCTCTGCAATTACCCGCGAGCGAAACGGACGACTAGAATGCGGCTTATGACATTTTGACGATCGGACGGGAGATAATTTGCGAATAATGCGCGTTTTAACTTCCGACTATTTTCGAGAAACTTAACTTTTCGCTTTGAAATCGCACGCGGAGAAGCAATTAGCTAGGCCCACTTTCTCTCTCTCTCTCTCTCTCTCTCTCGGTGTTTTTAACTCTAAATCTGGCTACTCGTCTGTTATCTCGCACTGATATTGGTGATTATCTTTAGAGATTATCTTTGGAGATTATTGGGTGATTATCTTTTTACTTACACCCCCGTTGCGCAAAATACTGTCGAAAATTCTTTTCGCAATTTATCTTAACAAGGTTTATATATATATAT